AGGCATAAGCAGACCTGTGTTTCCTGAGAAGCAAAAGAAGAGATTTGAACACTGAATGGTCTCTTCAATTTCCTCTGGCTCTCAAATTCTCATATTCATACAAATAATATACTATAATTAAGATTACATATATGTATATATATATATCACTTACTGTTTCTTTTTAAAAACATTTATGGATACAGCTGTGTTTTCCTAAATGTCTCATTAGTAATACTCAGTCTTGTAAGTCTGGTTCCATAATAATCTATAATGTAACTGCTTCCATCCGAAGGTCCAACAATCTAGAAAAAAATATTTCAAAATTATTCATTTTACCAAAGATATTTTCACAACAGTTTGAGGTTATTTTTACAGTTGTTAATGAAATTATTTCAGTAGTACCAATAATGTAACTCAAACTAACTCAAGCAAAAATAAGTAATTTAGTATTTTGTAGCTGAAAAAGATACGAGGGGGGTTCACAAAATCAAATGAGCTGTAGGAACCAAGGCCTCGAGGACTGAAATTCCATGCCCTTGAGGCCTCTGGTTTGGCCTCCCTGCCTCTGCTTAGCTCTGCTTGCCTTCATTCTCCCAACAGCTCCAGATTCACATCTTCACAGCTCAGCAGATCCCAACACAAAGAAGGAGAAAGATTTTCCTCCTCAGGGTTTATATACCAATTCTAGGGAAGAACTGTGACCTGCTTCGTGTCTATACCTATTGCTGGACAAATTATTACTGCACCCAAGAGAAAAGGACTAATATGACTGGCCAGGCCAGACTCCCTGTGGAAGAAAAGGCAGTGTGACAGTCTTACCAGAACATGGAGTGGGAAAAGGAAGAGAATAAATATTTTTTAAAAAGCCCTAGCCGGTTGGCTCTGTGGCTAGAGCATTAGCCTGCGGACTGAAGGGTCCCGGGTTCAATTATCGGTCAAGGGCATATGCCCAGGTTGTGAGCCTGATCCTCAGTGGGGAGCATGCAGGAGGCAGCCAAACAATGATTCTCTCTCATCGTTGATGTTTCTATGTCTCTCTCCCTCTCCCTTTCTCTCTGAAATAAAATATATTTAGGAAGGGAGGAAAGAAATCCACATGCTCATTACAATCATCTTGTTCTCTTAATCACATTTTTGGCAATACAATTAACACGATCTCTACAAATGATCCTTCAAAGCAGCAATCTTCAAAATGTAGCCTTAGGGACATAGCCGGTTTGGCTCAGTGGATAGAGCATTGGCCCTCAGACTGAAGGCCAATAGAAGTCCTTGCTTCTATTCCGGTCAAGGGCACGTGCCTGGACAGGGCACATGTGGGAGGCAACCAATGGATGTGTGTCTCTCACATTTTTGTTTCTCTCTCTCTCCCCCCTCCCTTCCACTCTCTCTAAAAAATCAATGGAAAAATATCCTTGGTGAGGATTAACAACAAAAAATGTAGCCTTAAGGATTACAAAGATTAACCAAGGTTTATGTGAGCCCAGATCATTCTAAGTGAATCAGTTTGAGATTCTTAATTCAATTACATAATCTTGGTAAAAATGATGGTGGAGGCTATGGTGGAGGCATCCGGCTAGTATCCATTCCCACTTCCTTTTTATTGTGGCTCTTTCTCCAACCTGACAACAGTACAGATACCTCCCATCAAAGCATATCCAGAGTCTTATGATGACACATTGCCTTGAGGTATAAAAACCTCTGATGTGCCAAACAAAGAGATAATTCAAAATACTAGACTTGGGGAAATCTCCTTTAATCAAGAGATTAAAAATATGCTCTGTCATATCTTGTTCAAAGGAATGCATTCCTAATATCACTTTACCTTTTTTTTATACTTAAAAATTATTTGCTAAATTTTTTTTAAAAATATATTTTATTGATTTTTTACAGAGAGTAAGGAAGAGAGATAGAGAGCTAGAAACGTCAATGAGAGAGAAACATCAACCAGCTGCCTCTTGCACACCCCCTACCGGGGATGTGCCCGCAATCAATGTACATGCCCTTGACCAGAATCGAACCTGGGACCTTTCAGTCCGCAGACGGATGCTCTACTACTGAGCTAAACCGGTTTCGGCTTATTTGCTAAAATTTTTAACATTTATGATGTTTGATCAATTGTATATCATTAATAATTACAATGACAACTCAATCCAGAAATCACAGAAAATTTTAAATCTTTTAATTCTAATGAGTAAGATGCTTCCCTGTCCTGGTATTTTAAATTCTATGGTATTTATATTGTTAGGTACATTTTTTAATTAATGTAATTTTTATTTAAATATATCAATATTTACAAACTAGAAATTACTCCCTTTGCAACTATTTAAATTTAAGATGGAAAACTTAAATGTCAACTTAAAAATGTACAAAGGATAGGAATTTTTTTAAAAATTCTTTTAGGGGTTATACAAGTAAAATTTAATTAACACTGCTGTAGGAAATTCTTTATTTTAGTTTTTTATTGATTTTTCACAGAGAGGAAGGGAGAGGGATAGAGAGCCAGAAACATCGATGAGAGAGAGACATCGACTAGCTGCCTCCTGCACACCCCCAACTGGGATGTGCCCGCAACCAATGTACATGCCCTTGACTGGAATCGAACCCGGGACCTTCAGTCCGCAGACTGACGCTCTATCCACTGAGCCAAACCTGTTTTGGACTTTTTAAAAAAAATTAATTTGGTTCTAAAAACTATTCAACAAATACTTAATTCCTATAATATTGCAGATACTATGCTAGATGTTTTACACATAACAGTAAAGAGGATATAATCTCCTCCAACAGTGAACTATGAATGTCAATATTCAAAGAACACAAGTATTTATGTGCTAGATACCAAGTTGGGTACTGTAATGCACTTTGACTTACTTTGTAAAGATTAAATTGATTTGGCCTCTGGTATGATATAATAAGCTACCATATTATTAAAGGCAATTTAAATTGAGTTTTGTTACTTATAGTCAAAAACTGATAATGCACTTGTCTTTAAGGCCTTCTATACCACTTCAAGATCATCAAAGCATAGCACCAGTTGCTATCTCTGATAAAACAATTTGAAGAGCTGTTGCAAAAACAACCCAATTAAGTCAGTGTAGTAAAGCCTTAGACTGAGAGGAAAACCTGAAGAGGAAACTGTCAATAGTCAGATGTAGGATTAATTCTCTCTGAACTTCAGCATTTACCTACATAATGAGAAACAGAATAAGCTGTTCTACATGGTACTTTTTAAGATCTTGTATAATTACATTGGCAAACACCTCAACAAAGTAGTCAATGTACTTTTCTATGAATTCTCTCATGGAGGAATCTGTTACTACTTAGTTTTTAATAAAACTATCACCTGTAAAATCTTCATTATTCAAATCCATATTCCCCCACCAAAATAAAAAATTTAGCCCATTTTTAAGCACCTTATATACACTTATTATACTGTTAATCATAAAATTCTAAATCTCTAAGAATAACCCCTTCTTGAAATTTTTTTTACTTAGTTAAATATGCCTATGTCCAATTGTTCAATGATGACTATGAGACCTAAATTTATGAGTTGATTTCTCTAAAATATAGCCTGAAGCTAAGTTGCATATATGAATTATTTCCATTTGGTAAACTAAGGCAATTTCTGAAATCTATAAAGAGAAGAAAGACCACTTACACACTTCAGTCCAATTAATGAACTAAAGTTGCTATGAGTCTGCATCTTATAAGAGGGGAAACAGGAGGACCTCTACAGTATGGGAAATTAGTTTGTACAACGGATGTCAATGCCCCTGGTGTGAGAAGCCCGAAAACCAAAAGAAAACAACTTTTTCCCCTCTCTCTATTAGTTTCCTGCAGCTGCTGTAACAAATTACCACAATCTTAGTAGATTAAAACAACAGAAATTTACTCTCTCACAGTTCTGGAGGCCTTGAATATTCTGATATTCAAGGTATCAGAATAACCGTGTGTCTTAGACACTGTAGGAGAGAACCCATGCTAAGCTTCTTCTAGCTTCTGGTAGCAATCAGCACTCCCTGGCATTCTGTGGTTTGTGGCCACATCACTCCAATCTCTGCCTCTGTCTTCCCACTACCTTCTTTTCTGTGTCTGTGTCTTTTCCTCCTCTACTTCCTATAAACTCATTTGAATTGAATTTAGGGCCCACCCAGATAATCATTTGACTTAAAGACTGGTTAGCATTAATCCTTAATGACCAACACAAACATCACTTCTCAAGAAATGAGTAATATTCCCCATTATATCTCCTGAGGAAAACAGAGCATTGGGATTAGCCTCAGAACCAGTTTAATACATTCTTTGTTTATGAACATTCCTTTCATTCACATAGCATAAGTGAACTGAGAGCTATCTAATTAAGGTCACATGACACAAATGATCAGTCTCCTCAGTTTTCCAGTTTATTTTCCCAATTAACCAGGGTTAAATAAATAATACACTGCACTATTTGGAAAATTTGCTATCTATAAAATGTCCACTGGTTTTTATATATTGCTGTCCTACATCTAGTGAACTATCAAGGACTTTAACCAACTTTTCTCATACTGGTAAAATTACATACTGGTAATAGATTTAGGGTGACTACATGTTTAGTCAATTTTTATCAACAGCATGTTATTCCACAAGAAAAATTAGCTTACACAGAAATGATCTATAACCCTAACTTATGCTCTGAACTGAAAAGGCTTTTAAAAATTTTAGCAAAATTCAAAAATTAAGATAGTCAGGTTAATTTTCTTTTATTTTAAATCTGAAGTTATCAAAAAATATATATATTTTTTGTTGAATATTAAGTGAAATCTTATCATCAGACCAAACTCTCAGGATAGTTAGATCATAAGTTCCTGTAGGGCAAAGATCCCAATTTATTATAGCTAATTGTGCTCATTAAACTCATTTTCATTGATGGCATAAAACCTAATATTTACAATTTATCATGCCAACTTTTATTTGCATTCATTACCTCTCAGGTGACCTTATAAAACTTAGAACTTTAAGGCCCTAAAAAAAGCTTTTTAAAAACTACCATTTTTAGCTTCTCATCTTCTCTGTAACTGGAACAAAGCCACAAGGTATAATGCATACAGTTCAAATCAGCAAAAGTTTTTGAGGGCATACTCTATGTTTAGCATACAGGATTAATAATTTTTTTTTTTCTTCAAGAAGTTTATGTGTGAAAGTTCAGATCTGGTGTAAAAGATAAGAAATAATATATATAATCCAATGCTAAAATTAGTTACATATATTAAATTCCACACTAATGAGATATTTTATAAATTTAATGTATTTATAAAACTCATAAATGATTGAAGATTATGCTTTTCTGAATTTCTGCTTATGTAGTTATTAGTCCTCTAAGGAAATCTACTCTGTAATATCAATAGAAATGAAAATGAAAGTGATTTCTTCCATAATATATAGAATTTTTTTTAATTGTCACAAAGAACCCAACATACTACCTTCTAACAACTTTCTACATTAAAATTACCCTTCTTCATCTTTCTGATTTGTGGCTGTCTTGTCTCCACTTAACAGAAGAAACTCTTTTCTTTTTGTTTGACAGAATACACATCAGTGGTTTGGGTGTAATTTTAAAATGTCCAGATTGTGTGAGAAAAGAGGTTTAAATTGAATCCAAATATTTTATTTTTTTCTGATTAAAAAACCTTAAATTGTCTAATCCTTCATGATTACACAAACATATACAAGCACAAAAGAATGAGTGTTTTAAAATCTTTGGAACTGCCTTATGAGGTATCTCTGATTTAGTTTTTGGTAGACTGCATAAAATAACTGAATTAATTCTATGGATTGTTTTACGCCATTCATTGACCTGGGACACTTGCATATTTTTAAGGATAACAACAACAACCAAAAGAAAGGAACTTTCAAGTTTATTAGCAAGTAGATAAACTCATGGAAATATTTTCAGTATGTATAGCAACATGTAAAGCTTACTTTAGCAATGTGTGATTATACTCTTTGGTTCAAAGATGAAATAACTAGAGCTATTTTTTAAGAGGATTTTTCTGGATTTATGTTATAAACACTGTGAAGCAAAGTATGTTTTTATAGGTCTTGAATTCATGCACAATATGTTTCTGGGATTACAGCCCAATAGAAAAACACTGAGATTCACTAGGGAATAATATTTAATGGAAAAAAATCAAGGATGGAGAAAATAAAGAAAGGAAGGAGAGTAAACGAAAAGATCATGAGAAGTTGGAAAAAATACATTTGTAACATAGTTTCTGATTTTTATAGTAAAAACTTATTTGATTTGCTGAAAAAAAAATTTTTCTAATATAGTCAACATCATGTTAAGCGTATCAAATGACATTTAGAATAAGGCTACAGATCTTATTTGGCTGCATTTGAAAACTGATTTATTTTTCCTCCATTCTAAAAGCAATCTACAGTGGCCATACCTATTGAAATATCTTTTTTTATTTTAATTTGTTTATTAAGGTATCACATATTTGTCCTCATCCCCCCATTCTCTCCCAAACCCCTCCCCACACATGCCTCCATCCCCCTGTTGCCCATGACCACTGAAATGTCTTATTTAAGAATATTTATTGCAGAATTTCAAACATTCTAAACCTCTCTCAGTAATTTTTTAATGTAATAGTCTCAATTCTAAATCTTCAAGAAAATAACTATTTGTTCTGAAAAGTTCAGGCATACATGTACCAGAAAGTAGTAGTTAAATCAAAAAAGCTCTGTAACTTGATATCCTATATAATAAAAGGGTAATATGCAAATTGTCCCCTCATCTGGGAGTTCAACAGGAGTTGACCAGAAGGTAGGGCCAGCCCACCCAGGGTCCCTCCTCCTGGTCAACCCCGCCCCTGATTGCCCCCACACCCCAACTCTGATTGGGGCAGGATGGGCTGGCCAAACTTCCCTCCTCTCTCATCACCTCCTCCTCGATCCAGGCGGGCCAGATGGACCCCACCCATGCAAGAAAGCTATAATGTAAAGATATCGCCAAAGAAAGAACCCAGTATGAAAATATTAACTAAATGGCTGACACTGAATTCTGGATATCTGAAAGAATCCCAATAATACATTAAGTTCCTTGGATCCTCAATTAAAATGAGAAACCATTTCAAAGCATATGTGCACAAGCTCCTTAGCCTCTTCATGTCTGCTTGCCTGTCCCGCAGTCAGAGAAGGCAGGATATTTGGTTAATAAGCATGTTTATGAATAAAGACAGAAAAATTCCAACTTTAAAACCAAATATTTTCCTTGTTTAATTCTGGTATCTTATTGGTCCATATGTTGCCTCCTCCTCACAGTATGCTACCAAAACCTCCTAGACTTTGACTTTCTTTTAAGGCATAAGGATAGCATCAAGCAGACTGAACTGAGGAGTGGAAATACAGTATGAGAAAGAACAGCAAAACTGATGATGATCAAAATACATACTGACACACTTGTTGAAGACATTAGGTGCTCCATAAATGCTTACTGAAATGCTGTTTTGTGACATTTGTTATGATAAATTCATCTTTCTCTAATTTAAGAATCCTCATGAGTTAACCACAACCAGTTCAGTATAATTTAATAGAAAACATCTGGTGGCACTTTTAAATGCCTAGGGATAGCATTTCACAAATTATGCCTGCCTCCATAGCACTGTAGTAGCAAAAAACTGAGGCAGACACAGAAAAACAGAGATGAATATCAGGAGAGTCCTGATACATCATTTTATTATATTGATTTGATCTTACCGGGGACCAGCCCCACTCTTTAATTATCTACAGAGAATCCAGGCATTCCTTTTCTCTTTTTGGCTTAAGAGAGATTTCGGTTTCTATAATTTGCAACTAAAAAAATTCTAATCTTTTGCTTGTCCAATGCAAAAGAAAATCTTGTTTCTGACTTCAGATGTCTATATGTAAATATCAAATCCCATCAATATCCTAGTATATTAATTGACCATGTGGCTGTGACTATCAGGAAAAGAAACAATAAGTCTGAGAAATAACCCCAATCCTTCTTAGGGATTCATAATATACACTATAAAGGATTCTGAGAAGTTATCCAGTAAAAAAAATCTCTTTAAATCATTTGAACTCACATTTACAAATCATATTTCAATATACAATCCTTTTTTTTTTATGCAGTTATAGCTTTTAGAACTACTAATTGGTAGAGCACAGGTTGGAAAATGCTACTTGGAAACATGGCCAGGATCCCTTGGATATAGCATCTGAAGGAAAATTGAAAAAGCATTCTTAACCGCTTCCTAGTATATTTAAAATATATCAGAAGATCACAGACATCATATTTGAATGTAAAAGTAGTTCATCTTCAAGATTAAAACTAATTTACGACTCAGCTGATGTGGCTCAATAGCTGAGTGTCAACCTATGAACCAGGTCACTATTTGATTCCCAGTCAGGGCACATGCTGGGTTGAGGGATTGATCCCCAGTAGGGGGCATGCAGAAGGAAGTTGATCAATGATTCTCTCTCATTACTGATGTTTCTCTCTTGCTTCCTCTCCCTTCCTTTCTCTGAAGTCAGTAAAAATATATTAAAAAACAAACACAAAAAAATAACTTACCTGCATTGAAATAAGAATAAAGTCAATTAGGCTCCCAATTCCACAAAATCCTACAGTGCAAAACTTTAACAAACCTAGAAAAGAAGGTAAAATCATTTACACCTGGAAAATCTTACAATTATTAACAAACTTGTCCATTTCCCAATAAACCATTATATATAATACAAACTCTTTATATCAAGAATATAAAACTAACACTTAAAAAAATCAAATCTTCACCTGAAAATATGAGAAAAGTTTAAAAGTTCCTCTATATAGAAAAACCAAAACAAAAATAAATATTACGAACTGAAAGAAAAACTCAATGTAATCTTACAAAATTTCTTAAGAGAAAAGGCATGAGGAAATAAGTCTTTAAATCTCAATAAATAAAAGGTAAAGAACAACTTTTAATCCTAAAATCTTTATTTATTCATTTGGACTTAATATATTGTGTCTAAATTGCAAAATACATTTATAGTAGAATGTCCAAATAAAAAATGACAAGGAACTGGAAAAATATCAGGAAAAAATACTGATATTACAATATAAATTTTAAAAAATTATTAGTAATCTAATTATCTTGAATTTATCCTATATATTTTTTCCTAGCATCTCGTATTTATTAGTTCTACAACAGTTCTGTGCACTATATATACACCTCTGTTATTGGTTCCAACTTTAGAGCTAAGATACTAAATAGATGACAATAGAACATATACAAGATATAACACAAAAAACATGATGGTGAAATCAGAAGAGGCAGATTGGGAGTGAGGTGGAATGAGTAATCTCTCTTCTATATTTAAACTTGAGTTGCTTTCCAGACATCCCATTTGAGACATAAAAATGGTATGAAGCAAGACTCTATGTGAAAGGGCAGTTCTAAGTTTCAACTACATACAGATGCCGGCTAAAATCACAGTGTGGATGAGATCACCTCCTGCACACAATTTGGAAATACACAAAGACTGAAATATGTGGGTACATTAGATTACTTTGCCCCTTCCTAGTATTACACAAACAGAATAATGTTGTAAGTACTAGATTAATACATGTTGGAAATAATTTAAAAACTTAAAATATAACAATTATATGAAATTATTCTTTTAGTTTTCTTTAAAACACTTATCTACTTAATATTTTATATTTGATTACTGTCTCATGGAAGTCCCACTGGGAAGTGTTTTTGTTTTTTTTTTCTTTTTATTGATTTTAGAGAAAAGTAGAAAGTAAAAAAGAGAGGGAGTCCACACATGAATTTGTTGTTCCACTTATGTATTCATTTATTGATTGATCCTTGTATGTGCCCTGACCAGAGATCAAACCCGCAACCTTGGTGTATGGAGAAGACATTCTAATGATCTGAAGTATGCGGCTAGGGCTGAGAAGCATTTTTTAACTGTTTAATTTACTCCTGTGTCTAGTACTTACGACACTGTCTGGCACATGGTAGATGATCAATTTTTTGTTGAATGAGTGAATAAATTTTTTCAGTCTTTCTCTTTCCTAAAGATCCCTAAGTTTTTATCCATCACCTTACATAACAACTCCTTTAATTACTTTTTCATTAGTTGCATTTTATTGTTGCCCAAGGAACAGTCAGTATACTTATTATATTTCTGAAATGTATCCCTCTCCATCTAGCATTTATAAATTTGGAAACATTTCCCTTCCTTCAATTTGTTTATTAAAAAAAATTTAAGAAGATCAATGAAACCAAGAGCTGGTTCTTTGAAAGAATAAATACGATTGATGAACCTCTAGCCAGACTCATCAAGAAACAAAGAGAGAGGACCCAAATAAACAAAATCAGAAATGAAAGAGGTAAAATAACAACTGACCCCACTGATATACAAAAGATTGTAAAAAAAAAAAAAAAAAAAAAAAAAAAAAAAAAAAAAAACTACAAACAACTCTACTCCAACAAACTAGACAACTCTGACAAAATGGACACATTCCTAGAAAAATACAAACTTCCAAAACTCAATCGGGAAGAATAAAAAACTCCGAATAGGCTGAAAACTACTGATGAAATTGAAACAGTAATCAAAAAGCTTCCAGCAAACAAAAGCCCTGGACCAGATGGCTTCACAGGGGAGTTTTACTGAACATTCAAACAAGAACTAAAACCAACCCTTCTCAAACTATTCTAAAAAATTCAAGAGGAAGGCATACTTCCAAACTCTTTTTATGACGCCAGCATTACCCTAATCCCAAAACCAGATAAAGACACCACAAAGAAAGAGAATTACAGGCCAATATCCCTCATGAACATAGATACTAAAATCCACAACAAAATTCTAGCAAACCAGATCCAGCATTACATTAGAAAGATCATACACCATGACCAAGTGGGATTTATTCCAGAGATGCAAGGCTGGTAGAATATCCAAAAATCAATAAATGTGATACATCACATAAACAAATTGAGAGAGAAAATCACATAATCATATCAATTGATGCAGAAAAGGCATTTGACAAAGTCCAACACCCTTTTCTGATAAAAACACTCAGCAAAGTGGGAATAGAAGGATCATCCCTCAACATAATAAAAGCCTTATATGACAAACCTACAGCCAACATCATACTCAATGAGCAAAACCTAAAACCATTTCCCTTAAGAACTGGAACAAGACAGGGATGCCCACTTTTACCACTCCTGTTTAACATAATACTGGAAGTGATTAGACAAGAAGAAATAAAAGGCATCCAAATTGAAGGAGACTCAACAAGATGGCAGCATAGGGCAGACACCCGAATGCAGCCCACTACCACAAGTTTGAATTTAGAACTGAAAAACAGGGGAAACATCACCCTGAGGGGTCGGACAGCTGGCTGAGGGGAGGCTCTACCATCTGGGAAGGAGAGAGAAGGCGCGCTGAACCTCAGGAACTGAGAAGGTACGAAAAACTGTGCGCCTGAAAAGGCAGCTGCCCGACTCTGCTGCCTGCCGGCTTGTGGAGCGCGAGAGGGTGGGCCGAGTTCGCTACCGGCTTACTCCCTGCGCGGAGAGGGCGGACAACTAATGCGCAGCTGGCTTTCTCGTTCAGGAAAACAAAACCACACTATTGCACTGATAGACGGCCCCAGATAGGGAGAGGCCAGACTGTCGGGCAGTGGGCAGAGATCTCTCGGAGGTGTGTGAAGCCAGCGGCCATTACGGTGGGACTCAGAAACCAGACCCTCGTAGGGAGGGGCTGAATAAATCTTGTCTGCATCACCCGAGACTACGCCCCATCCAAGCGCAGCACAGAAGCCCTTCCAGTGGCCAGCTTCCTCGTTCGCTGCCAATAGGACTCTCCTAGGGAGGGGCAGACAGGAATCTAAAGCTTGTCTGCGCCTATACCAAAGAGGTGTGCGCACCTGCAACCAATTGTGCGGGATTCAACAAAGCTTGGCTGTGCCACCCCGAGACTCTGCCCATCCAAGTGGAATACAGAAACCCTCCTAGCTGAGACACTTCTGATCCTCATAGCCAATTAGCTTGGAGATCAACGCTTCCCAGTGATACCAACAACAAGCAAGGCTTAACAACAAGACTGCACACACAGCCCACAAAGGGCTACAACAAGACTGTCCACCTCAGGTAACTGGGAGGCTGACTCACTGAAACATATAGGACACCTTAGCACACAAAGCCACCCTACCGACTCAGGGAAGCTGTGAAAATGCCAAGACAAGGAAATAGAGCACAAACAAAAGAAATGGATTAGAAGAGACTGGATATAGAGTTCAAAACAACGCTTACAAGGTTTTTCAAGAATTTCCTAGAAAAGGTCGGTAAGACCTATGAGGAGATGAAAAGGGATCAACAAGAACTAATAAGGGATCAACAAGAACTAATAAGGGATCAACAAGAAATAATAAGGGATCAACAAGAAATAAAGAATACATTGTCTGAAATAAAAAATATTATACAGAGTCCTAAAAACAGAATGGAAGATCGCAAGAATCAAGTCAAAGATTTGGAACATAAACAGCCAGAAGACACTCCTCCGCAGAAGCAAGAAGGAAAGAGAATCCAGAAAGTTGAAGATAATGTAAGAAACCTCTGGGACAACTTCAAGTGAACCAACATCAGAATTATGGGGGTCCCAGAAGATGAGAGAGAGCAAGATATCGAAAACATACTGAAAGAAATAATGACAGAAAACTTCCCCCACCTGGTGAAGGAATTAGACTTACAAGTCCAGGAAGCGCACAGAACTCCAAACAAAAGGAATCCAAAGAAGACCACACCAAGACACATCATAATTAAAATTCCAAGAGCAAAAGACAAAGAGAGAATATTATTATAAAAGCAGCAAAAGCAAAGCAGGTAGTTACCTATAAAGGAGCACCCATACAATTGTCAGCTGATTTCTCAACAGAAACCATGCAGGCCAGACAGGAATGGCAAGAAATATTCAAGGTAATGAATAGCAAGAACCTACAGCCAAAAATAATCTACCCAGCAAAGCTATCACTCAGAATCGAAGGCCAGATAAAGAGCTTCACTAATAAAAAAAAGCTAAAGGAGTTCATCACCACCAAAGCAGAATTATATGAATTGCTGAAGGGGGTTCTTTTGGAAGAGAAAGTAAATAAAGATAAAAACTATAAACAACAAATACGTAACTATCAACAAGTGAATCTAAAAACCAAGGGAATTAAAAAAAAAAATCTGATGAACAATATTAACTGGTGAATATAATAGAATCAGAGGTATGGTAGGGGAGTGGACTGACTATTCTCAGGGAAAAAAGGGAGAGGGGGGTGTGGGAAGAGACTGAACATAAACTGGGCACCTATGGATGAGGACAATGGGGGGTGGGGAAAGGACAGAGGGTGGGCTGGGGGGGGGGGAATGAGGAACATTTGTAATAATATGAACAATAAAGATTTATTTAAAAAAAAAAAAGGCATCCAAGTTGGAAAAGAAGTAAAATTGCCATTATTCACAGATGACATGATACTGTACATAGAAAACACTAAAGAGTCCATAAAAAAATTATTAGACTTAATAAATGAATTCGGCAATGTAGCAAGGTACAAAATTAATGCCAAGCAATCTATGGCATTTTTATACACCAATAGTGAACTTATAGGAAGA